TGGAGATATAAAGCCCAGTAACATACTCCTGGATCAGTTTTTCTCCGCAAAAATTGCTGATTTCGGTCTTGCGAGATTGAAATCGGAGGATCAGACTCTGTGTGAGATTGTGGTGGCGGAGAGCGATGGATTGAAACTGGAGAGCAATGGCGTTGTTGGAACAGAGGATTATGGATCTGTTGTTGAAGAGGCTGAGAGTGTGGCTACTACGGGGCTTGAGGAGTTCAATTTGGGCGGCGTAGATCAATCGCCGGAGAGTTTGGTTAGGGTTCCGGGTTCCGCGACTGCATCGCCGGAGACATTGGAGGTGATAACAGCGTCTCCGGATGCTATCGGGGCGCCGGTTTCACCGGAAATGATGGAGAAAGCCAGTCCTTTGGAGGGGACTTTCGAAAAGGGTAGCGTTGAGGGTGAGAAAGAAGTGGTAAATGGTGCAAAGATGAGCGGTGAAGCAACAAAGAGAACATCGGGGAAGGATTGGTGGTGGAAGCAAGACAATGGAAGTGCTGAGAGCGGGAAAGTGAAGGATTATGTGATGGAATGGATCGGGACGGAGATAAAGAAAGAGAGACCCCATAGTGATTGGAGTGCAACCTCTTCAAGCGGCAGGTCCAGTGGGAAATTGGATAGAAAGAAGAGTAAGAAACGATTAGAATGGTGGATTTCCATGGATGAAGAAAAAGAAAAGAAGGCGAAAAGTTGGAAGAAGGAGAAGAGGAAACCAGTTAGAGAGTGGTGGAGAGAGGAGTACTGCGAAGAGTTAGCCAGGAAGAAGAAGAAAAAGAAGAAGAAGAAGCAAGGAGGAGTGTACAGCGATGAGAATGGAGGAGAGCAATGGTGGGCAGGGGATGAAGACTTAAATTCAGAGAAAAAGAAGAAGAAGAGGAGTAGGAGTGTTGGTAGTATGGATTGGTGGTTGGATGGGCTGAGCGGGGAGCTATGGAGAGGTCGAGGCAACAGCCATGATTGGATGAGTGGTGAGATTCCAAAGAGTGGGAACATGAGTAGCACACCCAGTATGAGAGGAACTGTGTGTTATGTTGCTCCAGAGTATGGTGGTGGTGGAGATTTATCAGAGAAATCTGATGTTTATAGTTTTGGAGTCTTGCTGTTGGTTTTGATCGCCGGAAGACGCCCACTTGAGGTGACTGGTTCAGCTTCCGAAATTCAACGTGCTAATCTCATCTCATGGGCTCGCCATCTTGCCAGGGGAAGGAAACTTGTCGATTTAGTTGATAAAAATGTAGAATGCTTAGATCGAGAACAAGCTTTGTTATGCATCAGAGTGGCTCTGCTTTGTCTGCAAAAGTCACCAAGTTGCCGACCGTCAATGAAAGAGGTGGTAGGGATGATGACCGGCGAGTTAGATCCACCCCAGTTACCTGCTGAATTTTCGCCTTCACCTCCATCAAATTTCCCATTCAAGTCGCGTAAGAAGGGGCGGTGAGTGTTAATAGCCAAATCCGATCCTGTATTGCTGTAGATAAACAGATGATTGATGTTAACAGATTGACAATTTAATGAATTTGAATTTCATCCATTTATGCTTGTGCGTAGTGATGAAGAAGATGACCCGCTTCATTATTTGTTAGTCATTGGAATTCAGATAACAACTTCGCTGTGTTTGGATATTCCTGATTGTGGAAGATACAAGTTTTTAGGCATTTTAGATAAAACATAATATGTTATAGCCGAACTCGAAATTTAGTTCGAGATTAATTTTAAAATTAAAAATAAAAAATATATATATTTATAAAAATATAATTTTTAAATTTATAAATATTTATTTAATATAAAATTATGAAAAAAATAGTTAAATGATAAAAATAAAAATAATTTTAAGAAAAAATGTGAAAATTTAGATTCAGTGATATTTTTAAAGAAAAATTGAAAACTGGG